GTTGAAGAATAATCATATTGGCAAAACATTTGTTTGAATGATTTTGTGGGTTTATCATCCGAAATCCCTAACGAGATACAACTTGCCCACTAAGGCTAACAAGGCTTGTTGCATATGTTAAATAAAGCTCGTGATTCCTATAAAAATGAGTTAGGTTTTTATTTTGTTTGTTTAGTCGATGACTAGTAAAGTTTAAGTATAGGGGTATTTAATGAGTGCATAATTAGCATGATTTTTATGCTTTATTACATTGAACTTTTTAGTGTTTATTATACTATATTATATTATTTAAGAATAAGATGATGGTTTTAGGTTTTATAGGAAAAATGATGAATCGGAGCAAGAAAACCTAAAACCGAAACAAGAAAAAGAGAAAACTTCAAAGAAGCTTACAAAAGTCATACGATTGTGTGAAATAACAAAGGAAAAAGCTACCGGCCATGTGACATGAAGAAGGAAACCATATGGAATCCTAAGCAATACAAGATACATGGGCAATAGCATTCTACACGACCGGAGGAAGAAATCCCATACGGCCGTGTGGGTGTCTCGACCTAGCAAAGCCAAAGAGAAAAACGAGACCATACATGCGAAGGCATTGCACATGATTTGTAGTACAAAGTCACATGCTCGTGTCTCACAAGCGAGCATATGTCTACACGGTCGGAAGAGATTCAACACATCCTAAAGGCAAAATTTTACATAGGAAGTAAGGAAGCAATACGAAATGAAGAACAAAGGCACATGATCGTGTGCCTTGGTTAGCAAACCGTGTAACACTTATTCTTCAAGGCTCTAAAGCTGTGTAACATTAAGCAACAAATCATGTAACTTATTTCATTGGCCTATGTGGCTATATGGAACCGACACATATGTGATGTAATCCTAATTTTAGTATATATAGTAAAGCTAGGGCATTATTTCAAAATCCCAACTTTTAGCAATCACCATTCATAAAAAATTCTCTCTTTTTAATTCATTATAAGCAAATAAACTCTATTCTTGATTGAATCAAGTTGAAGCTTTTGGTTAATCGTTGTGAGATTATGGGTTTTATTTCTAAACTTATCTTGATTGGATATTTTATGTTTTTTTGCATTATTAGTTTTTATTTGTATGATTAAATTTATTAGAGTGCACGTTAGTTATTTAGTTATATTAACTTATTGCTAGCTAAGTGTTCAAGTCCGTGTAATTGTTTATCTAAACTTACCTGTGGTGGTAATTAGGGGTTGATGATTTTTTTCATATTTCTTTCAATTCCTTGGAAAATATAAAACTAGGTTACATCTTCTCTAGCGCCTAAGAATGTGGCTTAGCTTTACTCGTCTTTCTCTATTTAATGTTATTATTAAATTAAATCTATCTAGCGCTCGGTAGGATGTTCAATAGCTAGAGAATTAATTGAGTATCGTATACTCGGTTAGTAACTAAGTAAAGAAAGAATAAGGTCAACATACATGTTGTTATTTTATGGTGAATATTCATGTTTAGGATAAGTTAATTATCTAATTGATGATCGGCAATCAAACTAAAAGTGGATGTTGAAATTCAACCAAGGTTTTCTTTAATACTATTATTTTAATTTACTTTATTTGATTTCAAGTACCTTAAACACACAAACCCCTCTTTTCACTCCATAAGAACACTCAAACAAAAGAAATGATCCATTTAGCCCTTTTTCTTGTGGGTTCGACTCTTGTATGTCCTAACTATAGTTTGCGATTGAGTTCGGTAAGAAAAATATAAATCATCTAATTTGTTGACGAGTACGACATGCCACACTATGTGTAACCCATTCTTTACTTTAGAACTTTAAGTAGACCGATCTTTTATAGTGATCATTAATATTAGGTAGCAACTCATTTTTCAATTCTTTTACTCGATTGTTAAGATCGTTGTTCCTTCGATGTCAACTAAGATGCCATAGATGAAGACAGATCAAGATTTCAATACATTAAACAAGGTGAATACATAGTACAAAATAACAAAACTCAAACTCGTAAGCTATAATTCCCATATAATATTAACAAATATCTCTCAATTTTTAATAAATAATACATAGCATAATACTAAAAGAGTGCATACAAATCTTGATGATATAATAGCTTAAACAAAATGGTTCTCTTAATTTTTCTTCAAAACTCACTCACAAGAACTTATATTTTTCTTTCGAAACACTATTTCATGTACAAAATGGTTGCACCCTCCAAAAGAAATGGTGTGCTCTTATTCTATTTGTATATACCAAGAATTAGCCAACTTAAGGGAAGAAAGAGTTTTAATTTCAACCTATTTCAAGTAGTCATGTGATCCTAGCCTCCTAAGGATGGTAATAAAACGAGATACTTGTTTTATCCGATTTAATAAATTCTCATTAAAAAAGCGAAATAGATATTGAAACATATATATATATATTCACTAATTGGATATCTATTTTATATCCTACTAATATTCACTATTTTTTTTAAAAAAAAAATTAATATGTAGGGACCTAATTGCAGAAAATTTAAACTATGGATTGAAATGTTTTTATAAAAACTTTAAAGACCCAAAAACTTATAAACAGATTATCATATTGAAAAATTAATTTCGAGGACCAAAATAACTTAAAAAAAAAAAAAACAAAGAAAGAAAAAAGAAAACTAAAACTCTATATAATGCATAGTTGCAGTGTAGCTTTGGATGACTTTCGGCATTTTTTTTATTCTTTTGTATGTGTCAGTGTATGATCGGATATCTGTACAAATCTCGTTTTGAGCTGTAATCCGGCTTAACCTGGGCTGGTAATCTTGAATTACCAAATATAAGAAAAAAGAAAAAAAAACAGGTTGGCAAAGGGTAATGTATTCTGAATTATGAAATTTCTTGCAGTTGATCACATGCTACCGATTAATTTAACAAAATCAGATCCAATATTTGCACGTGCGGCATTCTATTATTCCAGGAGAGGAGAGGATAGAAACAGAAGGCAAGCAGATAAATGATGGATGATCCAAGCTCCGAAGAGCAAGAGAAGAAAACCTGACTGACACTTTGACAGCACTTGCTTTGTCTTCTGTATATGTCAGCATCTTCAACATGACGAGTAAATTATAAATTAGTCCTTTTAGTTTTTAAAAATAAATAAATAAATTTTTTATTTTAAAAATCAATTATTTAGTCTTTATATATATATTTTTAAATATATATATATATTTTAGTAAAAAAATAAGTAAAAGATGAAAGAACTGACAAAATAATAATAATGCATCTAATGACTTATATATATATATAAGTCATTAGATGCATTATTTCTAAGGATTTTTAAGAAATCTTGAATTATTCATATATAACGATACTAATCACTAACGATCTACCGATTAGTGTTGATTATTATTGATATTTAGTGACATAATTCTATATTTTAAATCATATCTAGTAATAATATTTTAAAATGATTTTAAAAAATAAGATTATTGGATATGTGAGATTCTTTGTAGTAATTCATAATTAGAATGCAATTTTGTGAGGGTGTTACAAGAAATTCAAAGAAAGAATTTAAAAAAAAAAAAAAAAAACCAGAGTCAAACCGAATTTTCAATATGTATATATCTCACGAATAAAAAATAAAAAAATCATTCGATTCTATAAAATACAAATCATACGGATAATTGTTTTGAGTGCATCGGATCAAATACGAATACATATATACAAAACTCGTTGCATCCCCCGATCCATTACCATCCTTGTACACTAGGCACGTTTTATTGTAGAGCTAGGCTAATTGTATTATGCTCTATTCCCTGCACTAGTCTCACAGATATTGTACCCTTCTTACTCGTATCAATTTCACCATGATTTTGATTAGCCATGACCGACCCTATATGCAGGGTTCCCTCTACGCCAACCTCCATAACACCAGTTCAGTGTGTACCTGGATTGGGTGTTTGTCGATCTCGAGCTAGCTTGGGGTCAGACACAACTGGTAATCCAGCCAATATGATTGGATCGCCTTTTCTGAATGCTTCACGGCCACTTTCAGAATGTCCAAAATTATCAAAGATAACCCTATAGTTACACTCACCTTGATCTTTTTTTTTTCCATGGTAGAAACCATCCAAGCCATACCTTCTGCTCCAGCCTCGAATATAACATTTTTGTTTGCAACTGACCTGAAAGATTGATGCCCTCAGATTTGCTTGGGTTAAGGCACCATCAGTGGTCGAGCCATCATGCCTGGAGTGTCCTTTTGAATTATCCATAAATAACGGTTCTAATCACTAACGATCTATCGATTAGTGTTGTTTATTATTGATGTTTAGTGACATAATTCTATATTTTAAATCATATCTAGTAATAATATTTTAAAATGATATAAAAAAATAAGATTATTGGATATGTGAGATTGTTTGTAGTAATTCATAATTAGAATGCAATTTTGTGAGGGTGTTACAAGAAATTCAAAGAGAATTTAAAAAAAAAAAAACCAGAATCAAACCGAATTTTCAATACGTATATATCTCAAGAATAAAAAAATAAAAAAAATCATTCGATTCTATCAAATACAAATCATACGGATAATTGTTTTGAGTGCATCGGATCAAATACGAATACATATATACAAAACTCGTTGCATCCCCCGATCCATTACCATCCTTGTACACGAGGCACGTTTTATTGTAGAGCTAGGCTAGATTAAATGATTATGATAGTATTTGTCAAAGCGTGGTCGGTTTAACCTATATATCGGTGATGATGACATGGCGAGATGCGATAAGTCAATGGTTAATAATGAGGAGGTAGTGACTCTTGCCAATCCAAACCCTAGCCTATATATGTAAAGGTATCTTATCCTCCTACGCTTCCATGTCAAAAAAAGATCAATATTCTTTCCTTCTCTAGTTTCTCTCCAATTATTATATGCATGTATACCCACAAGGCTGAGAGACTAGGTGGAATTTCTGTTTTTTCACTCTAACCTCCTCCTTTACTCTTCTTTCAATTAACTGCTAATTTTTATGGCTGATCAAAACCTAAGAATCATCGTTGAGAAGAACCCCTCACAGTCACGACTCGGTGAACTAAACTTCATGTGCTGGCCCAAGTGAGTCTTAATCCCCCCCCCCCCCCCAACACACACACACACACACACACATGTATATGTACATATGTACTAAGGAGTTTTGCTTCTTTTGTTTCTGTGATGTAATAGATGGGGTTGCTCTCCTGGGAGATATCAGCTAAAGTTTGATGCAGAAGAGACCTGCTATTTGGTGAAAGGAAAGGTGAAAGCATACCCAAAAGGGTCGTCAGAGTTTGTTGAGTTTGGTGCAGGGGATCTCGTGACCATACCCAAAGGACTAAGTTGCACTTGGGATGTGTCTCTTGCTGTTGATAAATACTATAAATTCGAGTCGTCTTCGTCACCGCCACCACCTTCTTCTTCTTCTTCTTCTTCTTCATAGCTAGTGTGTCCCAACTATTATAAATTGCTTATTTCTTCTTCTATATGATCAATTTATTCGTTCTATTATTGAGATTCTCTCTTCTTCTTCTTCTTCTTTTTAGAGGTAATGTACAACGTGTTAGTGATCTCTTAGTCAAAGAAAGGCAAAACCATTAGTCAATGCACGTCCGATTCAAAGTAATCTTCTTTTTTGTGTCTTTTAAATCAGCTTTTAATGCTCCGTTGACTGGTCAACTCCTTGTATTTTTCTTTTCCTTTTTTATTTAAATGGTGATAGGAATTATTTAGCCACCGACCTTTGTTCTTATCAACGAGACAGTAAAACCTACTTGCCGTAAAGACGATGATACCCACTTCCTTGGTTAGGTGATGGAGCACCTTTTCTAACTGCTTTTTATAAAAAACAAAAAGCGTCCCCAAAAGGAAAGGACGAATGTGGGACTTGCATTTCAATCGAAGGACCATACATCACAAAGTTGCGGGGTCCGAAATCGGATAAGATGAAGATGGATGGCTATTATGATTGTGAAAAGCTAATCCAGACAGAGGAATATACCATATGACCTTAGGTCCTTAGTCCAAGAAGTTGGGCTTCTTCCTTGAATTTTAGTGTGCAGGAGTCCTTGTCTGAAAGAAATTATTTTAGGCTTTGGGGTCCCATCTCCTGCTCGCATGCTTAGCTACATTGTTTTCTTGTGCTGTGCTTCCGTTGGGACTGATTAATGACGCTCTCACTCGTTTGGATTCGAATAGATTGTTTTAAAAATTAGTCTTGGAATGTGAGTTAATCAAACAAGATTGGAGTTGATTAATATCCTCTTCTCATTTGTGCTAATTATTAATCTCTCTTGAGGGTAATAGAAAGTGACCTAATCAAGCACCAAACACTCATGAATCTATGAGAGGTAGGTTTATTTGTGACTCTTTAACATTTCCACGGGAGTAAGAAACTATTCTTCTTATTCACATTTGCTCTAAACATGTGTCCTGTGAAATTACACATGTATTTCATTTTGCTAAATAGTCGTGCACCATTGCTTGAATCAAAACACCGAGGGCATCATAGAGAGGAAAGAAAAGAAAATTGTTTCAAGCTCAACATATTTTTAAGGAGAAAGCCAAAATTGTTTCTAATGCCAAAAGTTTCTCTTTTTTTTTTTTTTCTTTTTATTTGGTATAAGCATAAAAGGAAAAAGTGAATCAAAAGGAAAACATACAGACTTGTATTAGTACACTACTAGGGCACAATATTTTACATTTCAGCACATAAATTGGAATACATTTCCACAATTTGCTTGTGAGAGGAAATCAGGAAGCATAGAACTCTAGAAGTTAGTCACACCTGCTTCAAATAAGGAACTGCAATAGTTCACGAGAGACGTGCCCCAAATGTTAAACTTCTGCCTCATATACAATGGTGAGCTTTCTGGCCCTAGGAAGCAGAAACTGCAGAACCTAAGAAAATGTAAGAATATTTTGATTGAGCAAATTCTGAAATTTGGATACATTATATAAGAAGAATGAAATTAGGTTTTAAGTCAATACCATCAGGGCTGAGCTGCACAAGATCGTACAAAATAGAATCATGGGGTTTCAACCTTCTAGAGCATATGTCTGGACCTGCAATCCACATAAAAATGATAGAAATTTAGAAATATCCCAGTAGGATAAGTTAAATTCTTGAAAGCAGTGGATTGTATTGCCATCAATCTACAATGGAGACAAAAATGTTATCAAATGTTGCTGTGGTATTGGAAAAACAGGGTCAATCTCAATTCCCGATAACAATTGCTGATTTTATTTTTTTACACGACAAAGCAGATGATTTTGCTTTGAGGAACAAAAAAATAACAGGGAAAAGAACTAACCGGCATGAACATTCTTAAGCACATGAGAAAACAACAACTATGAAGTCATTTCTATCATTTATTCTTAAGAAAAACACTTGACAAACCAAGACTAGCTCAATACGCTCTACAAAATCATCCAAATAAACTACCCAACCTAAGACATTTTCCATTGTGTGGCAACCCTGTTCCTATTTCTATAAAGTAAACAATAATGTGCGAGCAATGAACCACCCAGATCGTTTGGGAAAAGCTCAAGCAGCCACCTTAAATTTAAACCCCGATATAAAACGGTGTCTAACGATAAAAACTTGAAATTAGTCATTTGAAATCATAGCAAGTCTCATTACTGCTGAAAAAGAGTGCAAAAGAAAAAAACAAACAACAAAATGCTCCAAAAAGATTGATAACCCTTAGTTTAATTTCCACAATTAACAAATTTGTTTCACGTCCTTTTTCCGTTTTTACATTTCCACACAACATAAAACTTTTTAACACATCAAATAGTGCTTTCTTTTTATTTGATGTGCAACAGCACCAGTGCTTGGTTCTGCCATCCAGAGAAGATTTATAAACGGAGACATGCATAAAATGAGGGAACTGAATACTGGCATCTTATAGTCAATAAAATGACAAAATAGAAAAATGCAATAAAAGAAAATAAAGCAACCTTTCATTTTTTTCTACCTCAGCCAAGTTCTCTTCAGGAAAGTAACTTGGTCCAGTACAATTCCCACCATGGGCACCATCATACTTGAGGACTCTAAGTTTCCCTTCCTGCAGTTTACCGAAAACTGTTACGCAGTTCAAAAGTATAGACTAATAAGATGAACATGATCAGAAAACTCTCTAACTTTCCTTTCTGCAGCTTACTGAAAACTTTATGCAGTTCCAAAGGATAGACCAATAAGAAGAACATGACCAGAGAAAGATGCAAACCTTGGTTCCATAAACAAGACCCCCCCAGCAAATGGATGAAAACAAGCAACATTGACCTCATCCTCTGCACTAGGAAGAACTCTCACAAGTTCCATATCTGAAACTCTGTAAACCTAATTGACAGATACAGAGGATTAGAGTTGCAAGACTAACATGCCGACCAGTAAAAATTACAGTATGAAATATAGATGGTATATAAGCCACTGCAGCTAACATAATAGGATAAATAGGGAATTCCTAATAACATTTATTTTCCAGATTAAAAACCGGGGTTTTGAATAATAGTGGAAATAGCAATCGTGGCTCTGGGTGTTAATTGGAAGCATATGTCACCCATTGAGCATAACATCTTTGCACATTTACACTCAAAGAAACCATTTCCAGCAGTACAATTTCCATGTTTTCATCTATTATTAGCACAATCACCTCCAGAATTTCTCGCTATTCAAAATCCATTCCTTCACTAATCATATAGAAAAACTATCTGTCAATTCTCTGTCAGCAATCACAAACTATGTTAGCCAGACATTTTATGCTTCATAGGAAAGTGACCTCGATTGATTCGCACTCTGGCCAGTGCAACAATTGTTAAAGCATGCCAATGCTAGTGAATAACTCAGAGAGTTGAATTGTTTTACATGAATGAAGCATAAAACGATAAAAGACATCTTATGACAAAATAACAATAACCCAAATGAAAATTCCCAAGCAAAAGGGGATGAAGATTACGGACAAAGAGCAGGGGAAAAAATGAACATTATACCTCTAGAACCGTATAAATAGGTGGTGTTGTTTCCCCATCAATGACAATGCTTTTTAGAAGGGATCCATGACGTCGACCATAAGCCAGTAATATGTGTTCAGATGTTGGGGAGAACTGCACATGGCATCAAATAAATAAGATGAACGTACTCAAACTGGTATTTAAAAGAATATATATATATACACACACACACAGAGTAGAACCACATATTCTAATATTTGCATAATAAATATCTTAAAAATATTATCTCTGAATCATAGCATCTAGATATCAGAGCACCATGTCCAGATGGTTCCTTTTCTTCCTTTACAAAAAATAAAAAATAAAAAAACAAATAAATTAAGAGCAATTGACAATCTCAGAAATCTAGAACAGCAGAGTTGAGTCCTCTCAGAGTCCAGCCCCAAATAAACTAGTGACAACAAAGACAAAAAAGATGTTCTGATTGCTAATACACCAAGATTTCAGTTCAAAAGTCCTCCTTTTGTTAGCAGTTTAGCCAAATGTGCTTAACACCACAAAGATGAGCACACCATGAATTACAATTCAAAAGTCCTCCTTTCGTCACCATTTTAGACAAATGTGCTTAACACCACAGAAGAGCAACAGCATGTCTTTTACAAACTAAAAGCAATTAAATATTGAGAGTTCATATGAAAAATGGAGAGAAAACTAATGAGCCGTCAACCTACAGAAAGAATACAGGTAAGATTTGACCTTGTTGTGCTGAAAACATTATAACCAATCGAACAAGGGGCTAAAATATTTTGCATCTCAATGCAAAGACAAAGGTCCACTTGTAAGGGAAGTAAGCGAGTAAATGTTAAGAAAACAGATACATCATACATGTCCCTTTCATCTATGAAAGATCACTGACCTGGATTGAAGTCAAACAATGAGCAGCTCTAATTGCACGTGACACAAGCACTGAACCAAAGCTGTAAAACAGAAAAGCCACTTTGACGGATAAGACAATCATTCCTTTGGATAAAAGAACAACAAAGAATCAAGTTCCTTGTAAGAGTTGGACAGAATTTTACGTTGCCTCCTCCAGGGAATATATGCGCAGCTCGTACATAACTTGGTGTGCTGATATTGGGTGTCGAGTAGGGGAAGTCGCTGCCCCAGTATCTTGATGGACTAGCGTTTGTAATCCTGGATCAGCTTCCATATGAGGCAGCATGCAAGCTACACAGGCAGCTAAATATCTTCCACATGGTGAAAAATGAGCGCCCATTTCACTGAAAAAACAATAGCGCCAGAGACACAAAATGAACATATGGAATGGGCAGCCAAATTTAGTAGTAAAATGAAACACCAAAAGACACGAACAAGCTGGCCATTATGACTTGAAACAAAATTTAAGAAGTGATGTGGTAATAACGATGTCCCCTAAAAATAAAAGGAGCAACCAAAATGCCCCATCCATGCTGGAGGAAGCATAGAATACACTAAGACATCAACAAATTGATACTTTCTTTTAGTCAAAACAATTTAAATTCCATCATGCTGATTAATTAAGTAAACATCAAATTTTATTTTGGAGCAGGAGGAGAAAAGAAAATTCATAACCTTCAACATACCTACAAAGGACGGCATGAGGTATAGTTAAGCGACATTTGTCAGCATTAAGTTGTGCACAAGGATGTTCTATGTCATGAGACCACACTCTAAGCTTTACGGTGCATGGGAACTCTGCAGCTGCCAATGACGTTGCAATCTCAGACTGGATTCTATTAAATATGGGCTGATTCTCAGTACCTTCGTGTTGCATATTAATGGGAGCCACACTTTCCCCAGATTCATGCACAGAGAACCGGGAGCGTGAAATCCGATGCCGCAAGCCAGATCTCCCAGAAACCCCGGATAGGCTGGTGGTGCCAGGCATTGCCAAAGAAACCACTGCAGCTTCCACATTTTGAGTAGATAGATAAGATGTTAATGAGGAAGGACCAATATACTGGGCAGAATGTTCACGACTACCACTATTAAGAGGAAGCGTCGAGGGAACACCAGCTTGGCTCTGACCCATTAACCATCCCTGCAAAAAGGGTAGCTCCCACCGCGTGGAGTCTCTGGAGGGCAGAAACTGCTGAAGCTGCCCAAAATCAGTAGACTGCTGCCTAACTGAAGTATGTGCAGTTACTCCATCTGTTGCACTATTACCAAGACCAAATGTCTCTACACTAGCAGAGTTTCCCTGTGGGTTCCCCACTACAAGCTGCATTTCATCAGTCTCCATGACATCTTCTCTAGTGTTTGAAACACCACTTCCCATTCCAGATGGGAAAGAATTACTTACCATACCTTCTGCACCAGTATATGAACTAGAAGGGACTGCAGGAAATGTCTCCATGGGAGTCACTAAGGGATCATATCTATCCGCTGCATTTGTATCCAATTGAAGCTGCATTGAAGTAGATGACTCCACTTGCATTGTACTTGAAGTGACATGTCTATTAGCATCTATTCTACTATCATCTATAGAAAATGAAGGCACGAACAAGAAAGGCAAGGACATAAGAGGCAGTTCAGAAGCCAAGTTAACACGATCACTGGACTGGCCATTTGTGACAAAAACAGCAGGAGGAGGATATCTCAGGTAACCTGGAGATGTTGCCTGTGTCATTGAGGAATCTGAAGAGTCAAGATCATTGACCTGCATATCAGTCCAAAAATGTAATCTACATGATAGAATGAGTAAATAATCAAATAAATGACCTTTGGGTTATTCACCTCAGCAGTCAAGAGAAAGGGAGCACCGTGAGGGTGAAAATGCACTGCTCGAAGAGAACGCCTAGTCTTCAATACAATGAATGGTGAAGATGCCTCTCCTCTCTTATTGTAGTGCCATATGTACAACTGACACATGAGATTAAATGTCAACGCTAAATGCTATAAATTCAATGCAACACAATCCTCACGTAATGAGAGGAAAAAAGTTTGCGCAAGTTGAGCCATATTAGGCGTAATATTCAATACCTTGTGACCTGATGCGACAGCAAGCAATTCGCCTTCTGCATGGAAAGCAATGGAAGCAATAGGACGATCTGTGAGGGGAAACAAACTCACCGTCATACACACTCAAGAACTATGGAAGAAAAAAAAACTGCATAAAAATAATCAACACATAGAGCTGAACTTACAGAAATCACGGGATCCTATACACTCTGATGTGTTTGCATCCCATAAGCGAACTTCGTAATCCAAGCTTCCACTTGCAAGAATTTCTGGATGCAGTGGGTGGAACCTGACCTATAAAATTAGGACATTTAATATGGAAAAGCTAACTTAAAGATTGTTAATTGACAAGAAAATGCATTTGATTTGAGATGAAAAGCAGGGGTAATACCTTTAAATGGGAAAAAAAAGAGAGGGGTAAATGGAGGTCAACAACAAAACTGACAAATCTATATGTAAAATTATGGGAATTGGTTGTATAACAGAAAGGAAAGGGAAGCAGTCACCCCTATGAATATGCAGTTTTTGTAATATATAAATTGTCAAAAGGTAGAAAACTTTAGTACTGAAACGATATACTGCCGAGAGTTATAATGCCCTAAGCCAAAAAAAAATCAGTATGTTCACTGAAAATATTTTATTCTAGTACTTTTTAGGAAGACATCTTAGCCAAGCAGGATTAAAGAAAGTGCTAAAAATTCACATTTGAGCCTATGCCAAATTATTGCAATAAGGCATACAATTTATCAATTATTCATTCATAAGTAACTTGTCAGAGTTACAAAAGATCAAGAAAATTAGCAACCATTTACGTGCATTCTTGCAAAATTCCAAATTCCAACTTACCACCCATGGCGTCCTCCGATGACCCATCAACACCTTTAAACAGTTTCCAGTTTGGCAATCGATTATCTTCACCGTGTGATCACCACTGCATAAAAAGAGAAGAGAAGAGAAGTAAGTACAACTGCCAGTTGGTGCATGAACAAAAAAAAAGACCAGAGTAAGAAAATTTACTGCGTAGAAGCAAGTGTTTTTCCATCAGGACTAAATGCTGCTGCTATAGTCGACCTTGGAGGAGGCACCAGAGGGCAATACTTGGCTGATAAATGCCTTAACGACTCTGCTTCAACCCTACAACACAAACAAAGAAAACAAACTCAAAGTTTGAAACAACAAACACTTGTAAAGAGGAAGCTGAAAGCAGCGCAATTACCATGAAATAAGACCGCGTTTTGCATCTCTAGCTGGCTCAGTTTTAGGAACAAACGAAGAATTAGGATTCCATTGAGAAGCTTCTCCCCATCGCCTTTTTGGCGTGTGTTTAGTTCTAGGACAAATCTCTCTCTGCACTAACAAAGACAACGCATTTCTACCACTGAAACATCAAAAGAAAAAACATACACCAAATCAGAACCAAAATATAATCAAAATAAAAAAGAAACTAACTCCCTAGCAATTTCAACGTAAATTCTAGCTCTCTCTCATCACAAATCACTACAATCAAAAAAAAAATCATGATTTACCACTTGCAATGCACCTATCAATAGAATTATCTGACCTTTGAAGAGGATTAGTAGAAGACGGAGAATTGAGCGAATTTCGATCCAGCGGCAAAGAAAGTCCGGTCATTTCCTTGCTTGCACGATTCAGGTTCATATGGAGAAAAGATTTTGAAGAAGCAAAATCTCTGCTGTAATATTGAAGATCGTGAACTGTTTGGAGAGAGAGAGAAACCCTAATTCATTGATGGATTTGAATTGTCTCGACGGATCGAGGCTCGACGATGGATAAAAGAGAGCGTGATGAGTGTTGGATTTTGGATTTGAAATGGCGACAAAACCTAATAAAAGAAAGCACAGAAGAGGAGCTGAGGCTGAGCTATGAGCCTTTCAGCTATAACATGTAAGCATAATGCCTCATAGAGAAAGAGGTAGAGAGCGTAAAAGAAAAACGAACAGATATTGATTTATCTTACATTGCCCCTTCTTTACCTTAAACAAAGACAGGAGCATGAATGTTTTTTTTTTTTTTTTTTTTCTACTATTAAAGTGGCTTAATCAAGGGACTTTATTAAATTACTATGTCCTAGTCAAGAATAACTAACTACCCAAGGTAATTTTTACTACGTGCAATGGATCCTTGGATCAACTATTAGAATCCTAATATTAGCTAGGTTTAAATCCTAAAGGCCGCAATAAAAATATTTCAATAAATACATTAAATTAGGTGTGATCGATACAAAATGAACTTATACGTATGCGATTGTTGTGTAGATCGGACGTTCATTTTATTTGGTAATAAGAATAGAGATCGGAGTAGTTTTAAAACCTTCCAATTCAATGGATTGTTTCTCATCCTTCTCCTTTTTCATAATTTTAATGCTCTCAAGTTTTCATTAGATATATGAACTCACATTCTTCTCTTTTTTTAGTAGCCAACCAACTAGAGAGATGATTTACTATCCATCATTTCTCCTCTTCATTTAGCTTCCACTTCATCTCATTGATACTCCTCTTAATCCATCCCTCTCTACAAACAAATCCTAATTTTTGGTACAAATAAACTAGATTGAGAAAATCCTAACAATTAAACCCAAAACAAATTAATAATATTATCAAGTTCTACTTTGAATTGTGGTTTCAAGTGACGTATAGTTAAATTATCCTTGCATATGCATATATTTTTAGCCTAAGCAAAAAATCATCATGGATTTTGTACTATTGATTTTCAGCTATCTCAACATCTCTATCTAGATTTGATTTATACCAGCCATTCTATTTCGAATTTTGGAACAAGTTATCATTTTTGTCCATTTTTTTTTATGAAGCTCCATGAGTTTGACTAATTTTTGTCAATCTACTAACCATATATGGCATTTTAATAATTTTCTAAAAAATCAATTAAAATATTCTAATAGAATAAAAAATAAAAAAACATTAAAATAATTAATATCGTGTATTATTATTACTTTCTATTTATTAATTTCCACCTCTCTAATGGAATAGAATCCCAAAATTTTATTTTAAAAAAAAATTGAGAACCCTAATTGCCCCAATTCGATTTCTTCCAATCCATAAATATTAATTTGAGTTAATATGTCTTCTAGTTTCTCATCAAGTACTTATATTATAACAAATAAAAAGATTTGTTCATCCATTCAACAAAGACCCAATTAGGAATATGAGGGTTCATAAATCATGTTTCATTGTATATTAAGACTCCTTAGTAGGCATCTTGGACCAATGCACATCTAGTAATGTAATTTTATGTTTGCCCAAAAGATAGAGAAGAGCGATGTAGATTTTATCGTTTTATTGATTCTTTTATTGTAGAAAGATAAAGAAGGTTATTATTGGATTGAAGGCTTATGAGAGATAATTGCATACTAATACTAAATTGAAAGTTAAAAGGAAAAATAAATAAAAAAGTGTGAGTTTATGTGTTGTGAAAACAACATATTAAAATATCATCAACAACAAGAAAAGAAAGCAATGGTTTTCGATATGGAAAACATATAGGGACAACTTAATGAATTGAAAGGAACTGAGAAAAAAACGAAAAAAATTCATTTATATGGTAATGGCTTTAATTGTATTGTGTTTGGTATATATGTTGATGTTGAGTTATGAATGAGTGTCTCGGGCTTAAATATAGGTGACATGGGTTAAATATGATGGATGATATTTTGTACTCTTTTAGTTAGAATGACTTGTGTATGTTATAGTTGTAATTAGACAATAATGGACTATACTAATGTTGTATTTTGTTTTATATGGATGAATGAATTGTTTTTTTATGTCAATAAGTTATTTATGTTTCATTAAAATCAAGCAAGTAATGCACAAACACAAAAAATGGTTACAAAGTTTCCATAATGTTAACCCCGTTTTGTTTTGAAACATTATCAAAAATATTCTAAATAAAGTACGACGGTTCATTTGTCAACAAAATAAGTTGTGTTATTGCATGATACCATATAAGTTTACAATAGAAATTGATATGTATAGGATTAACAAAGGATTAATACAATAAAGTTTGCAAAACAGGCTAATTTTTTGCTTCAAATTTCCTCTCTCTCTTTTCATAACGAACCTCTATTAACATTTAGCTTTCTATTTATAGTTTTTTTTCTTCCAATAACTTGTGGTAGGGTAAATCTAAAAAATATTAACATCTTTCTTTAGTGAGTTGGATTTTGATGTTTTTGCTATATACATGTCTAAAAGGTTCAAAATCTATATGTCAAAGAAATATTGAAAACATTAATTGTTATGAATGTCATTCATTTTAAACTAAGATTTTGAAAGTGACAAATTGATTATTGTGGCTTATAGATTGACCGATTTGGTTGCTTCTTGTGAAGATCTTTTCATATGATGTAAGACTCTTTTCAATGTACTCACAAGTTAGGGTTATTGAAACTACGACTACAACATTTAGTGCACCACCAACACTAGCATAAAAAGAAACACATAAAATTACACCAATGCTCTCAGCACATACCCAACTAGATTTCTATGCATTGGTACCAACAAAAGCATTATTCTCAATATCAAAAATTAGATTCTCTAATTCAATCACAACACCACAATTAGCTTTATTAGTTTCACTTGCATTTAATAATATCAACATAAAATGGAAAGGTTTTCGGTTCTTTGATCCTATCCCAATCCGCTCACTCCACTAAGGCTTTTCCTGCGCTTGACCGAAAAAGGAGATCTCGGACTTTCTAATCAATTCAAAGAGATGGCGCTTCCACTAGCTTTCTTCATAGATGAGATTCGAGCTTCCATCGATGATTTTCACGTCTTCGAACCGCTATCTTCGGAATGTGAAAGAAATAGACTCAAGAAAGAGACTCACTAAGAAGAATGGTTCTTCCTCATCCCCTTCTTAACTTTCCTTTTACTTCTCTTACTTTCCATGTGGGGCTAGGTACTCGAAGGTTTATCCCCTTCTCTTATAGTGAATTAGCGTTGGGACCGACCTTTTGTACGGAGTCGGAGAGAAAACTCATTATCGAAGATCCGACTCAAGCATTTAGCTACTCGAACGAATGCCCTCATCGAATGTTTGAACTCCGACATAGAGGCATCCAGCAAAATTCCAAGGGATATAAGTCTCTAAAGTTGCGTAAAAGTCTTATTTTGGCTAGCGCCCTTTCTCCCTATTAGTATGCCCGATTTCTCCTTCAATTGGTAAGCATTACTCCTAATCGGGTATAGGTCTTTCGGAACAAGCTTTAGCAGTCCCGCCTTCATAACTAAGGTGACTCCTTGGCCTACAAGCTGGAGCACTTAATTAATTGAAAGGTGTAGAAAAAGTCCTTTTTCGCTATGGTAAGCGCGACTCCTTAGCGCCTTCACTCATGAATTTCCCTTTCGGGGAGAAAAGAAGAGATCAACTTAAGTAACTATTTCAATGGGGCATGCCCGGAGGTAGTAAGGTTTGTTTAGTTTGAGTTTAGGTCTGCTAAAGACCGATTTGCCCCAACAGTACGTAGCTAAAGGCCTAACCCATTGTTGAGTACCTAGATTCTTCAACCCCGACCTCAAGAGAATCCGGGGAAAGCTCCATATCAAAAGAAGCTTGACCGGTAGCGGTAGGAGAGAGAAGTTTGGGGCTAAGGCCCGTAGCTATTGGAGTTTCCTTATTCAAGTCTTGGAGGAAGGGCTGCTGCGCTCATCAATGTTTGATCTTTCGCTTTTATTTTATTTTAGAACACAATCTTCGTCCTTTTGCTTTTGGGATTCAACTTTATGCTCTTAATGGTGAATGTGAATCGATCATTCAATATCTTTTTCCTTATTTTTTTCGGAATCTACAAAAAGTAATGAAACCTGCGATGGCTACTGTTACTAAATAACCTCTTTTTCTTATCTTAATAATAAAGCCTTTGACCTTTTTATTCGTTCGCTTGTTCAGTTCCATCCAAGCTCGTTTTTGTCCGAATTTTCGTGGAAGAAGAAGAAGTGGTTCATCGGCCACTACATCCGTAGATCCCACCAAATCCTTAAACCCGGTGGCTACTCGCTCTTTCATTAGTGATTCACCGGCCTCGATGAAGAATATCTCCAAAATTAGCTTTTTGATCGGTGATTCACCGGCCAGGAATCCCACTTTATTCTCAAACCCGATGGCTCGATTGATTGGCACTCCTGTAAGCTCATCTTGCATACAAATTCTGAGGGTCCCAAGTCCTGCATTTACCAAGAACATTTCTTCCCTTAAGCGTAAAACTTTAGATTGTAAGGCGTTTCCACTACATAAAAAAAAACTTGAATTAGATCTTCGAAATGATCGACTCAAATAGATGCTCATCATAAGCTTTTTTTCCTCCTCTTCCCGATCAAAAGTTGAATCCAGCATAACATTCCTGTCGTAACATAAACCGTCTCTTTTCCCTTCCCACGCAGCTAACCGCTAAACAATCTACATCGGTAGCCTTACAGCTATTGATTTGCCCTAACTAGGGTCTCGCGAGCCCATTCTTTCAGCTTTCTTTCATTCAAAAAGTTCAATAAGAGATAGATCTTGTGCCGATTCAATTTCTTACTCTTTTCTTTTGTTCTATCTTTATCGATTTTCTTTGATCGATGCGATGAAGGACATGCTTCCCCATCTATCTCTAAAGCACTGAACAAAACTTGATTCAA